GTTTGCGCGGGACCTCCCTCTGAGTCACCACACTCTTCCTGGTGATGGTTTTCAGCCAAGTGGCAACCATAGCTGTGTGTCCCTCAGGGAAGGCAATGGCCACTGCTCGTGTCAGCCTCCCTGAGCCAGGCCGGCACCTGCGCCCTTCCCTTCCCGCGTCAACTGCCACAGGCCAATGTGCTGCCTGTGCTGGGTGACTCCTGAGGTGACTGTCACAGAGAGGGCTTGCACTGACTCCAGCCAGGAAGAACTGAACCACTAAGGTCGGGATCCAGTTCCCTAAATACACATCCATACTGCCAAAGCTCCCCTCTCTCCTCAGCAGAAGGGTTCCCACTCCTCCTCCATCAGCTCTCACACCTGATCAGTGGGCGAAGAGGTAGGGAACAGACTTGAGATGTCCTAAAGAAATAACTATCAGTTATTTCAGTCCTTCTTGCTTTCCATCCTCTTCCCAAGGGTCCCAAGAAGAAAAGCAGAATAGCCCCAGTCAGTCTGTAACTGATCCTGGCCACTGCTCATCTCAGGACTTTTTCTCCGTGTCCTGGAAAGCTCATGGATGAGTTTTGCATTTTGTGCTTGAAAACCCTTTTCTGCTCATTAGTGGATCTGGAAAGGGCCAACCCTGAAGCCTAGAAATGACAATGTCCCTGGAGCTTCTCCAGACATTTCCCTTGCTGCAAATAACTACAAGTGAGGCTGGGGAAGTCACCAGAGGGACCAGGCTATGGGGTGTGGGGAGTGGACTGGGTTTCTGCCATGCCAGGGAGCCAGGCACACAATGAGAGGCTGGAAGCATCTCTGATGGCTTGTTGATTGCAGAGCCATATGAAAGCAAAAGTGGGGCCAAACTGGTCCTCTCAGGTCCCACCCAGGCCAGCCTCCTGGCCAGATCAAGGATGCCTCCAGCAATACCCTCCTGCATTGTCTGGGACATGGGAAGGCCGAGCAGTCCAAACCATCCATGGAATTACTGCCAGCCTCCAAGGGCTGCAGAGAGCCTCTTCCCAGGGAGGGACACAGCATTTTGACCACATTCAAGTGCCAAAAAGATTCCACAGTTGTAAATCTGAAAGCTAAATGACTTCAAGAAAATAGACTGTGGAAGGAATTCCTGCCTAACACTGATGACTATCATGTGAGGAGCTCGGAGAACTGAGCTTCAAGACTGTTCTATGATTTGTGTTTGGATGCAGCAGATCCATGGTCCTGCCATAGTGAACACCTTCCTCTGATTTTTTCCAAGGTGTCCTTGTGAGAAGGTTGCATTTGAAAAGTAATGCCATGTATGATCCAGCATAAGCTGCAGCTGGGGGAGGGAAATAATTTCACTGTGCTTTGGACCTTTTGGCTTATGGGCTGCTGGGCTGGAAAAGATGAATCCAACATCCTTTGCACTATGCTTGTGCTGCTGCTGTCACCTTGTGCCCACCCAACCAAAGAGAAGCGGTGACTGATACCAGCTGACACTGCCCCAAACTGAAGACACAGGGTGGCAATGGACTCAAAATGCCACTCTCTCACAGGTAACGCTCTTTTGTGAATTACTCTTAATGGAAGGTTGATTACGCCAGCTCTGCTGCCACAGCATGAATCTGTTTGTTTAGTTGTGTTTGGTGCCTGTGCTTGGAAATGCGGCACTTCAGCAGCACCACTTGGCAACCCAGGATGATGAAACACAGCAGCCAGGGCTGATGTCAAAAAGAACCACTAGACTTTATTCCCAAATGGCATTTATAAAAACAGACAAACAAAGACACAATGGAGGACACGGGAACGCATGGGCCCATGGGGCACAGCATAGCCAGGTCCAGACCATCTGCACCAAGTGACCAACAGAGGGAAGAGAGGCAGAGGAGGCATCTCCTGGTCAGGTTCGGCAAAGGCAAGCCTGCTGCACCACCCAGACCCTCCACCCACCACCCACTAGTTCAGTGCCAGGTCTCCGAGACATGAACTTCAACCACTGACCTGGACTTCGTGTCAGACTGGTACGGGGAAGCCAGGCCCTGCACTTCCAGCACAGGAGCTCATACCAGGAGGGCATCACAACAGGTTCCCCATGCTCACCTCTCCCTGTAGGTCTGGCCAGTTGGTCCACAAGATTCACCAGACAAATTCCCAGACCATCTCTGTTCTCTGCAGACTCCCAGCATTGTCTTTTCTAGTCCATATGGTGCCTACACACAGTCTTGATCCCACCCGCCTCTGCAATGGGCACCAAAGCTCCTTCTAGCAAGGACCTGATACCCTTCGGTCACCTGAGATCCAGCACGTGGCCTCACCATAAGAGTGGATGGCAAGCCTAGAAGAAACACAGTTCTGGTCCACTGCAGCTCAGACCATGCTGGATAACACTATCCCCTGTGCTCTGTAGAGAAAATTTCTCCCCCTCCCACCCTGGATCTGTTTAATCCTTGAGCAGGCTTCTTAACCCCAAGCAGATAAATAAAACTGAAAGATCTTCCTTCATACCACAGCATCACCAAAGGATACACAGCTCCACATGCCTTTTCTACTGTGTCCCAGCCCCACGGCTGTTGTTCTGCAGGACCAGAGTCAGATGTACAGCTGGAGGAAGGATCAGCCCAGTCTGCAGTAGGGCAGCACCAAGCTTTGCTGGTCCTGGGAAGGGGGTGGCCAGCAAGGAGCAGCCCTGCAGGGAAGCACCCCTGGAACAAGACACCTTCATCCCATAACAGGCCATTTGAGGGATTGATATGTTGAGGGATCTTCCTTTAGTCCTCTGCAGGGTGGGCAGAGGAAAAACAGGCTTCAGCTGGCAGACCAGGCAGCTTGGGGAAGGCTGGAGAAAGGCTTTGTGAAAGCAATGCACATAGCCAGGGAGTGAGCCAAGGTGGACAGCTATCCTTCATCCATAGTGGCTTTGTTTCCTTAATGCTTTCTGTGTTAGGACATACTGTTGGATTCCTCATTCTCAAGCTTACTCCTCTATGGAAGAAGAGCCTAGGGGAGCCTGGGAAGCCTTGTGAGGTTGCAGTCAGCTCCATCTCCTGGTAGCCAAAAATATATCCTGTGATTTTTGTCCAACAGCTTGCTGTGATGCTGGTGGTGGCTGGCTCTCACTGAAGACACACACATCTATCAGTGCTGTTTACACTGCCATTGCAGTCCATTTCACTGGTCTAAAGTCCCCAAAGTGGTGCAAAAAGTGGCCACTCTACCTCCTCCAGGATGAAAAACTTCCCTTATCTTCAGTCTTCTACTTCTCAAGGCTTTGCTTCCTCCCTACTGGCAGTATCCAGCTGGGATGAAGGTATTTGTTGGGCAGTTTACTGTTGAGCAGGAGGTCTCTTGTGCAAATAATCAGATCCCACAAAAGCACAACAGCACCTCTGGGGAACGAGGAGCTGCAGATGTCCCCTGGAGATGTGGCTGAGCTGGCGACCCTGGTGCCATTAAGTGCATTTCATTCCAGTTCCTGATTCCTTGTGATCCCTGGGGAAAAAATGCACCATGCTCCTCCACTGTCTCTTTCCCAGCACACCACTGACACTCCCTTGTGCAGACACCATGGCACAGAGACATTGAGCTGTATATGACACCAAATCCAGCTCCAAGAGCTTGAGAAGAAGCCCCCAGGTAGGTCTACCACTATGCGGGAGAACAGCCTTCAAGCTGTAGGTTGAAGGCCCATTGGGCTAAACACAGTACAAATACTTTTTGGTGGACAGATGAATGATCCTTGCTCCAAGAGCTTACAGTCTACAAGAACAAAGCCACAGTTCCACCGCTATACAGACATTACACCTATTTACACCCACAAACACTTTGGTCGCAGCAGAACATATCTCTCAGACCAGTAGCCCAGCAATCAGTCAATCTGGGGGCAGGGACTCAACCACTCACCTCTTTCTCTTAATTTGCAGTGCAAGACCATTTTCAGCCATTACTCTTTCCACCTCTGGTTCGGATCCACAGCCCCAGGACCCTCCTCTGGCCCACAGAAGAAAACTTGTATCAAAACAAAGTCCTTTCCTGGCTGCCTGAGCCCTGGGACCTGCGAGGGTGTCCCACATCACCAAGGAGGCGATGGGTGTTGGGCCAGGCAAAGGAACGGGTGAGAGGCTGGATGATGCTGGACCCAGCTCTCCCCCGTTTTGGTCTCATAAGCTGTTGGCACTGTGCTTGACACCATGTTTGCAGCAGGGTGGGAGGAGGCGGATCCCTCCAGCTTTGAGCCCCAGTCAGGGGTGGCAGTGAGAAATCCAGACTGCCGTGATGCTGGGACATGTGTCTGACAAAGCTTTTCTGAGAGGAGATATTAGTTGGTTAGTTTGTATTTCGATAAGGCACACCCTCCCCATCACCTCATCCAGTGCAGGTTGGCACCCTGTGGGTGGCCCCGGCTGACCCTCCAAAACCTTGCCAGATGCCTCTGCAACTGGGTGTGCCCCGAGTGCAATG